AAACAGTAAAAGATATATAATAGTCATACCCATATACATATGTACTTTAAGTGTTAATTAGTCAATATGGAGTGAAAGTAAAATCACCTGGAGTTGTCGATTGAAACTGATTCTTAATGTCTAATTTATTCCAGAAATAATCAATGAATTTGTTTACGGATATCCTGTTGTTCCTTCTTCTGGTTTCCCAAGTCAATTTGGCACCAGAAGTTACCAACAACAAGGTACGTAACATAAGCTATATGAGTAGCTTTCTAATGGTTCTAATGATTTACTTGCAAATAAATGAGTTTTAAATTAAAACAAATTAGGCAACGACCAAATTTTTACTACTTATTTAATTTTTTTATGTATTAAATGTTTTAGGTTGCCAACAGTAACCAAAATGATTTGATCAGAGACCGAAGAACACTGTTCCTTTTTAAAAAAAGAAAACCAGGTCCAATTGAAACTGTATTCCGACTAATGATTGATGTAAGATAGGTATTATTTTTTTTAAGTAACATTTATAACCTGTTTATATAAAATTTACACCAAAAGCTGTCAAGGTGCTCATTATTTATTCAAATTTTACTCTTAATTTGTGGTTGTGTTTAGTTTAAAAGAAAATCCCTAAGAATATAAATTTCTTGTATTAACCCGAAATAAAAATGTTCAGTCTCTCAGAGTCTCTGAAAGCGAGACTCGAGTCTCCGTCTCTCATCGAGTCTCTCTAGTGTGCTGAGAGAAACTGTCAAAAAAACTGTTTTAGTCGCTCATAGAGAGATCCTCATTTCGTATCCAGTCTCTGAACGAGACACTCGAATCTCTCAATAAGTGGTGTCTCGATAGACATGGTTAAAATTTTCTAAGTTCAACACATTTCAGAGATCCCATTCTTTCTACGACTCGAGTCTCTCAGTTTTTCAGTTTTATTCATTCAGTCTCTCTGTGAGAGACTAGAATCTCTGAATTAACATACAGAGATTGTGAGAGATCCATAAAAACACCTAGGCAATAACTGAGAGACTGTGAGAGATGCTCCCAGAGACGCTGAAAGACTCTGAGAGACTGAAAGTTTTTGTCTAGGGAATACTATTATTATTTATTATTGTAAACACATTAAATGAGCTGGTGCTTTTCTGATTCGAGTCTAAAGACTGTCGTCGCTTGGAGTAGTTTCCTGACGAAGTCCTCTGAAGAAGCTGGCCGCCGTTATGAAGCAGCTCCACTGACGACGGCCTTTAAAACCGAATCAGGATAACACCAGTTCACCAACTGACCGCGAAAGCTTTACTAATTTGTCAGACTAAATAAATTTCTTTGTAGCAATGGCGAGATACAAAGAGTACGATCAATAAAGTAACCAGTACCATTAACGCCCAGTTTATCGATGAGAGTCAAGTTGTAAGTACAACTATTGCCATTAAATAGGAATTGTTATGAAATCGAAAGTGTTACATTCAAATTCCACATCTCGTGTTACATTCAAACTATTAGTACCCACTAATATTGTAAACAGAAGAAGTTCTTTTTGTTTCTTTGTACGTATTTTCCCGAGATCCGACGTTTTGGGATTACCTGGTTATTAAAATGTTTTATTAAACGATGAAACTATGTTTTAAGTCCTAGTTCAATGTTGTTCAAAATTTCAATCAAAATTTTAAATTTAAAGTCACCAATCTTTAGACGTGTTCAAATGTCAATATTCGGTCACAGGGTTACAGGATAGGATGAGGTAGTGATTGTGGCTAAATGTCAGCCCCCGGAATCATTATGTTACGATCACCAGTAGTACCATCCGCCCTAATTTGAATGAGTTGTCTAGTTTATTATAATTTAAATAATTCTCAGATAATACAGACAAATTTAGTTCATTTGATACAAAAAACTGAAAACTAAATTTCTTTATGCTCCTATGTAAGAACTAAACGAACACAAAATAGTTTTAAATTTGATTATCCCTGTTCTTATAAATAGAAACCACAGCGCCAATTGGATGAAAATGCTACAACAACAGAGGGTCCTTACAGGATAACTAGAAACGAACTTTATCGTATAATCCGCCGAAACGTTAAAGGCATTCAACGCCTTCTAAAGATAGAATTGCAAGATGCACTAAGTGTAAGTGTTTCAACAATGACAATTACTAATGCCCTTGATGTTAAGTGTTTTTCATAATTGTCCTTTCAGCAACCGAAGCCAAGTTATAAAAGCCTGCATAAAAGTACAACAAGAAACACGAAAACGTAACCACTTTAGATAGCATTGAAAATACGTGCCACTTGTTCTGTGATAGTTTTTAATATTTTACGTAGAAAAGTGCAACAGTCGAAGAAAAGGCCACGTGAAAAGAAAATATTTAAATAAATATAACCGTAGTCTTTATTAAATAATTTTATTTCAAGTCTGTAAATACTTATTTCTGTATATATGTATAATATATCAAACCTATATATTTTTTGTAAATTGTTCTTGTAATGTTAAGTAGAGTGGATAATGTGAAAGGAATAAAAGTGTAGACGCACTGATTAAATCAATTAACATTTCGTTTTTATATGATTCTTGAAGGTCAAACCGCCATTTGCATCGGTATTTTGCAAAAAAAGTGTTTAATAAGCTGCATGCAACTTACGATTTTTTTTTGCATTTACGCTGGTATTACATTTATGCTAATAAGTCAATTCGTATCAGACAGAATTATATTATAACACCACTAGTACATCAGAATAAATTATTTCTTTTGANTCTTCCACTGCATACCAATGTTTTTATTTTACTTTTTCTTATTTTCAAGAAAATTATACTAGAGTAATATTATTAACTAGGTACTATTGGAAATTGAGTTCGTTAGAAATATCAAAAAGTAGGAGGCAAAACATTTTGAATACTTAACATAATTTGTGTTAAATTTTTTATTTGTTCAATGGCGTTTAGAGAAAAAAACGCAACGTATAAAAAAATTTTATCCAAAACACCTTCAAACTATTTTTGGAAATTTAGTTTTTTTTTATGTATCTAACAATTTAAGTAGAACTTTCAGAAAAGCATATGAATCAACTTGAACTTCTTTATCACAGTTGTGACTCACTTAATCAGCTTCTATTTATGTAACAGTTTCAGTGAACTAATTAGGTAAATTTCTTGTTAAAACTAATTCATAATTGGAGAAATAAAAATCGAAATTTTAGAAATAATTTTATTAGAATCCACTACAGTACTGTTTCGCCATATTATGTTTCATGGTACCGCATTCCTCATTTACTTTAATTAAAGTATTCTACACATTCCGAATAATCTCAGAGATCGATAGGTGTTTGTTATATAAAAGCAATTTAGATATCAATCATTTATCTATCAATAATTTTGGTAGAAATATTTTGTTAAACTAGCCCTAAGCCAAGAAAAATGCGTTATAAACAAATAGTTCATAGTGGAAAACATCTTATCTGTAGATCTAGACAATTACACATGCCGTTAATATATTTATGTTTCTAGCTAGTAATACATATTCATTGATTGCTTATTACTGAAAAACTTGTTAGTGTATTTTAATGTACACGTGGTAAAGGATTACAGTTTTTTCTTGTGGAGATTTGTCAATATTGAAAAAGGAAAACAAGCATTTTTTTAATTTCCAGTTAAATAGATAATAATAATTTATTGAGACTTAAAAATTACTTTTTATTTTTGTTATGGATCTAAATCAAGTATTAATAGACTCCATCTTATATAATAGTTAATTTTTAAATATATAATTACAATTTTTAATCAACATTAAACTGCAGTATCACAACAACTTTCTTCGCCCCACGTAAGAGAACTATAACTCCAGATTCGACTCCTTCCCTCAATTTACGTTGAATAATTTGTAAATAACTCCAAGGTATACACAAGTAAATGTATGAATAGATATATAAATGGTTTCATTAGGTAATTCTTGAGATTTACTGTTATCATTAGAGTTACTTTTCTGTTAACAATATGGTGGAGGTGCTGGGTGGATTAGACGTTTTGCATGTATGTATTGTCTGCCTGTACAGAGTAATAATTATGCTAATTGTATAGGTGTAGGGCTCGTCAATTGATAGTGTTGTTAAGGGTGATATTTGCAAACACTGTCACGATTACATAATGACTAAAAAAACATTAATTTATATACTTAAAACTCGAAAGCTTTTATAACTACATATGCATGTATTAAAAAGGTAAGAGTTCAATTTTATATTACATCTATAAAATATCAAAGAACTACAGTTTTATTATCTAACAAGCGTAAACAGGATAATCCATTCTGAGACTGGTCTACGTCTTCCGATTTGTGAATAAATTAATACTGTAACCTTAAATGTAAAGTCAAATGTAAATGTACAGATTTTTTACCTTAAAAAGTATAGTACAGAAAGGAAAGTAAGCAATACTTATTGCATTGATGGTGATTTATTAGAAGATGAGGTATGTATTACTAAAATAGTTGATGACGAAATGCTAGTAACATAGTTTTAACAAGAAAATTATCAAACATACATACAATTTAGACATCTTTTCGAAGTGAATTAGTTTATTATGAAAATGAATTTTCTGAATAATATTTCATATTAAGAAAATTATCATCACCATCTTGACGTCGTCAGTCCTAAGACACGCACCTCCACTCTTTCCTATCCTGAGCTAATCTTTGCATTTCTCCAAAACTAGAAAACCCATATCCTTAACTATTTGTGCGAACAGTAATCTAATCTAGGTCTACCTCTACTCCTCTCCACTCTTGTTTCTGCCTTTAATATATCTCTGACTAAACTTCATGCCTAGGAAGGTGTCCCACCAATCTATCTTCCCTATTTCTAATTGACTTTCATAGAGTCCTCTGTTCTCCTATTACTTCTAATAGCTCTTCAATTCTAACCTTCTCTATCCACGATATCCTCATCATTCGCCGGTAACATCACATTTCGAAAGCTTCTAACCTTTCCTTTCCGCTACGCTCACCGTCCATGTTTTTCGCATCCGTACAGCGCCTCGCCTAAACATATAGATACCTTTAACAATCTCTATCGAATTTCCAAATTAACCGTTCGCGAGCATATAAATGACTTCTTTTTATTGAAGNACATAATGACTAAAAAAACATTAATTTATATACTTAAAACTCGAAAGCTTTTATAACTACATATGCATGTATTAAAAAGGTAAGAGTTCAATTTTATATTACATCTATAAAATATCAAAGAACTACAGTTTTATTATCTAACAAGCGTAAACAGGATAATCCATTCTGAGACTGGTCTACGTCTTCCGATTTGTGAATAAATTAATACTGTAACCTTAAATGTAAAGTCAAATGTAAATGTACAGATTTTTTACCTTAAAAAGTATAGTACAGAAAGGAAAGTAAGCAATACTTATTGCATTGATGGTGATTTATTAGAAGATGAGGTATGTATTACTAAAATAGTTGATGACGAAATGCTAGTAACATAGTTTTAACAAGAAAATTATCAAACATACATACAATTTAGACATCTTTTCGAAGTGAATTAGTTTATTATGAAAATGAATTTTCTGAATAATATTTCATATTAAGAAAATTATCATCACCATCTTGACGTCGTCAGTCCTAAGACACGCACCTCCACTCTTTCCTATCCTGAGCTAATCTTTGCATTTCTCCAAAACTAGAAAACCCATATCCTTAACTATTTGTGCGAACAGTAATCTAATCTAGGTCTACCTCTACTCCTCTCCACTCTTGTTTCTGCCTTTAATATATCTCTGACTAAACTTCATGCCTAGGAAGGTGTCCCACCAATCTATCTTCCCTATTTCTAATTGACTTTCATAGAGTCCTCTGTTCTCCTATTACTTCTAATAGCTCTTCAATTCTAACCTTCTCTATCCACGATATCCTCATCATTCGCCGGTAACATCACATTTCGAAAGCTTCTAACCTTTCCTTTCCGCTACGCTCACCGTCCATGTTTTTCGCATCCGTACAGCGCCTCGCCTAAACATATAGATACCTTTAACAATCTCTATCGAATTTCCAAATTAACCGTTCGCGAGCATATAAATGACTTCTTTTTATTGAAAACAACTCGACCCTGCGCTATCCTTTGCTTTATATCCCTACTACTCCTTCCGTCCATACTTATCTGACTTCCTAGATACCTAAAATAAGTCACTTCTTCTAATTTTTCGCCTCCCATCTTTATATTCGTTCTTTCCCTACTTTGTCTTCCCCTGCATACCAATGTTTTTGCTTTACTTTTTTTTATTTTCAAGAAAATTATACTAGAGTAATATTATTAATTAGGTACTATTGGAAATTGAGTTCGTTAGAAATATCAAAAAGTAGGAGGCAAAACATTTTGAATACTTAACATAATTTGTGTTAAATTTTTTATTTGTTCAATGGCGTTTAGAGAAAAAAACGCAACGTATAAAAAAATTTTATCCAAAACACCTTCAAACTATTTTTGGAAATTTAGTTTTTTTTTATGTATCTAACAATTTAAGTAGAACTTTCAGAAAAGCATATGNTTTCTTGTTAAAACTAATTCATAATGGGAGAAATAAAAACCGAAATTTCAGAAATAATTTTATTAGAATCCACTACAGTATTGTTTCGCCATATTATGTTTCATGGTACCGCATTCCTCATTTACTTTAATTAAAGTATTCTACACATTCCAAATGATCTCAGAGATCGATAGGTGTTTGTTATATAAAAGCAATTTAGATATCAATCATTCTTCGCTGTTAAATATTAACTGTATCCGAATAAAACTTACCCCATTTTCCGATAATGTCTAAATACATATAAGTTAAAGTGAACTTTACCGAGAACACGACATGTTCTAATGATTAGATCAAGTTTGTCTGTGACTTCCTTGGATCGGTTAGGCAAAGGCTTCTTTTCTGGGAACATTCACGATAACAATGCCAATGAAGCAAACAATGTAAATTAATACGAAATATTTGCGATACACAAAAATTACCACAATATTTTGAAACAAGCATATCGCTCATGTAAACACTCGCCGTCAACGTGTTGTTGTATTTATATAACCATGAATTTTGCAATAAACAAGACGATTCAAACTTTACATTTTCAATGACTTTGTCTAGGACTATGTATCTATTGATCTATCGTATAAGCACAAATAACACATATGCGTGTATCACAACACGTTAGCATTTTTCTTGTTTAATTAGTCGATAGAATAATACCTACTTCTAATAAATTGCATCTAATATAAATAAACAAAATTAAAATGTCTCTTAACAATATCAAAACAACTGCATATTGTCGGTTATTTTTAGCTTAAATATATTCATGATTTACAAAAAAAAAGCGAAAGATATATAAAGATATATTGTTCCTCTTTCATCCTTTGGTCTAGTAGTACGGTCATGCAAATTATTTTCATTTGGTTGATGATTTAAAGGAATAAAAATAACTTTTTGGCGAATTGACGATCTCTTCGTTCTAAATAGTGAAACCAGTCTTGCAGAAATTTTGCTAATATGAGAATACCTGCACACCTGAATTTTCTTTTCGCCTAGCGTTCATTCACAAATAAACATTGAATTTATAAGGTATCGTGTTTTAAACCCGTTACCTGACCTTACTTAAGACACTACTACGTGCCTCCGGTCACCTAGTAAATCGCAGATGCTGGGCTGGTAATGGGTAATCTTAAATCGCCCTTGTTCCTATGATTCAATTTCCTCAATGCTGATATATTAATCGATTCAGTTGAACTATCTACTTACATCTTGTTACGGTTTCAGAACCATATAAAAGCTATTTTATGCTCAAAATCCCACGTATCGTACAAACCCATTAAAGAAATACCAAAGCGGCAGTTTTTATTTGAAACTTTATTAGATTTCACGCAATCGCCTTGCAAAATTGCAATCCATTCGACAATCAAGATTCACTTTCCAGCTCCAGATAAAATGTTACATAAATCTGCATTTCCACAAGAATCTTAGGTTTCGTCACCTGGTAGACACTAGGTACTTTTAAAGAGAATTACGTAAAATGAAACCAACGCTTTTCTATTTAACATCAAAGGAAGTTATAAGCAGAGAAAACACGACCAACAACTTTTGCAAAACGTAAAGTATACATGTATACATTAGTGGACAACGTCGTCGCGAAAGTAGAGGGACCATCATCTCATTCGGACCGTATTTTTTTATTTCTTTTAACATCAACTGGAAGGTGTATGTTGTATTAAAACCAACGTGAAAGTACTGCATGCTGATACGAGAGAAAGGCCAAAACGATAACACGTTTGCCACTACACTACGTACCGAGTGAATCTGAATCTGACCTAGAAAGAAAGGGTCATACAAGTCTCTTGTCAGCAGTCCACTTATTAGAAAATTTGTTCCCGTAATGAACGTGTATATTGTATAGTAGTAGTCAGAGTTAAGAGTGAACGCGTGGATTCTATTGGCAGTCTGTTCGGTGATACCGCAGGATACAGAACATCCAAAATGACCAAGGTGAGTGATCTTCTCAAAAGTTTATTATTTTGAATTAATATCTGTATCAATTATCGCAAGCAATTGTCTATAATTGAAACTGTTTCTCATTAATCAAAAATTAATGTACATTCATTAGTTTTTATACATGTAGCATGAAAAGTTAAATGAAACTCAAGAAATATTTTTAATTAAAAACAAACTGTTGGTTATTATTATATATTGCATTGTGTATAACGTATCGTTTCTACAATTCTAAACAATTTCCATTATTTATTAGCTGAATTCAGTTTCCAATTCAACATAATTAAGCAAAATCGATGTTACAAACTTTGTGAAAAAGGTTTAGCTACAATAAATCTACTTTAAAGTTTTTTAAAAGTAGGGCCGTATCTAATTCAATTTTATTATTTTAATTAAGTCTATTCCTTTTGAAAATACGTTCATCCATTTAGATTAATCTAATTGAAACAACAAAATTGTGATACTTATCCTGTTTATGAAAGGGTAATATTAAATTAATGTTACATTCGTATTCTGTAACATTCTGTTTTACAAAATTCATAAAGCATGCGTTAGCTTTCTGAAAAAGAAACCGACTCAATGAAATTTTGAGTTTCTAAAAAATTCAGGTTCTGTTTTTTTTTGTCATTAAGCTTTGAATAATTTAGTCTATTAACAGAAATAGTAAACAATAAAATTAGTGTACTGTTACACTGTGTTTTACAGAATTTATTATGCATGAGCTCGCTTTTTGAAAAAGAAACTAATTCAACGTTTTTACGAGATTCTCATTCTGCTTTTTTTTTTGTCTTTGAGCATTGAATAATTTTGCCTATTAACAGAACAGATAACAGAAACGTCTTTACAACACAAAAGTTCACACAAATGTTCATTACAACTAAGATAAAAACTTTCTACAGGTTCATGTTCACATTCACTTTAGAGTTCAAGGAATGGCAAGCTTTACTGAAACTAAATATCTTTATTGATCAGCATACTCATCTAATTTGCATAATTAAACAAATTTTCGATTTGACATATTGTATACCCATTAGCACATACGAAGAATGACGCAAAAAAGGAGTGAAGAATGGTTTCCTTCCTTATACTACAAAATTATTATCAACAAAATTTATAGCCATGTGCCTCTTATGAAAATATCAAGCAATTCATTTACCATATATCTACAACTATATAATTAAGCTAAAACATTTTCAAAATGCTAAATAGCAAAGCTTTATCTGATTCACAGTGAGAGGTAAATTAACACAAAATTGTATAATTACAAAAATCATCTTTAAT